GATAGACATTTATACATATTTTTACCTTATTTTTTAAAGACCCTCAGCCTTGGGAGAGGTAAGAATTACTTTTGTTTGTCTGTAGTTGATGAGTTAACTCAGTTAACTGACTTACATCAACCAGTCATTCATTCAACAAATATTTATTCCTCATCTATTCTTCTAGACACGAGGGATATAGTAGTGAATAAAACAAACAGAAGCCCTGTTTTTCACAGAGCTTACATTCTAGACTGATTTGATATTCAAGATTTGTTTTGAAATCCAAATGCAGAAAAAGAACCAGAACTGACAGCCAAAAAATACAATGATCCTTTAACACATGAAAAGATCTTCAACTTCATTCAAAATAAATGAAAAAAAAATGGTTTTTTTTTTGGTTTTTGAAACAGAGTCTCACTCTGTTGCCCTGGAGTTGAATGGCATCAGCGACTTCAAACTCTGGGCTTGAGCAATCCTCTTGCTTCAGCCTCCCAAGTATGCTGGCTTTTTTTTTTCTTTCTATTTTTAGGTCTTGCTCTTGCTTAGACTTGTCTTGAACTCTTGAGCTCAAGCAGTCCACCTGCCTGGGCCTCCCAGAGTGCAAGGATTACAGGTATGAGCCACCTTACCCAGCCCAAATAAAAATTTAAACTACACTTTTTCCCCCTTGACGACTGGCAGAAAATCCAAACTGCTGAAAAATATTCAGTAGGTGAGGCTGTGGAGGGAAAGACACTCTCATACATTGCTGGTATAAGTGTAAAATGGTACATTGTCCATGGACAGCAATTTAGCAATTATTTCTGAGCTCCATCAATGCTTCAGCAGGCCTCCCGGTGGGTTTAACAGCATGTCCCTTACCATAGAACTTGTATACAATTGGAAACAGTTACTCTGCTTTAGGAATAATTTCTAAGAAATAAAAGCAAACTTATAAAGATAAATAAGAACATGCTTATTGCAGCATTATTTGTAATTGTAAAATCTGTCAAGAATATTAATGTATATCAATAGAGAAATGGTTGGATATATAATGGTACATTCATACTACAGAATATTATAGACTCATTGAAAATAGCTAAATTTGTCTTAATAAATATATATTAAATAAAAATCAAATTGCAGACGACGCAGCAGCATCATCATAGATAATGTAATACTTACATTACATTAACCATATGTCAAACACTGTTCTAAGGGCTGTTCACATATTACTTAAATTAAATCTTACAACTTTATGAGGTAAGTACTATTATTATCCCATTTCAAAGATGAAGAAGACATCAGGTACAGTGGCTCACACCTGTAATCCTTGCATTCTTGGAGGCTGAGATGAGTGGAGTGCTTGAGCTCAGGAGTTCATGCCCTGCCTGAGCAAGAGCAAGAACAAGATTCCATCTCTACTAAAAATAGAAAAACTAGCCAGGCATAGTGGTGGCCCCCTGTAGTTCCAGCTACTCGGGAGGCTGAGGCGACAGGATCGCTTGAGCCCAAGAGTTTGAGGTTGCTGTGAGCTATGGCTCCACTGCACTCTACCCAGGGGGACAGAGTGAGACTCTGTTTCAACAAACAAAAACAAATAAAAATGAAGAAGACATAGAGAGGTTAAGTAATCTGCCCTAAGTTACCCAACCAGAAAACATACCCAGATCAGGGCGTAGAACAGAATCCAGGCAGTCTGGCTCTACCAGCATATAATCATAAAGTATACTGTCTCTAAGCAAAATTCTAATTCTGTGTCTGAATATATGTGAATATAAATAGACTATATTTGAATATGTGTGTATGGTGTGTGTGTGTATGCATGTAGGCATAGATAGAATGTAGAAACACATTCTATCTCCAGTTCTAGATATAGAAAACTTAGGGGGGAAATGGAAAGAATACTCACCAAATTGTTAAAATGGTCAATCCTGAGTTACAGAAGAGATGTAGTGTGTGTGTGATTATGTAAGTGTGGTATTCAGTATCTTTTGAGTGAAAAAAATTAACAGAATAAAAGCGTCTCCTTAAGACTCACCTATTGGGCAGTGCCTGTGGCTTAGTGAGTAGGGCACTGACCCCATATACAGAGGGTGGCAGGTTCAAACCTGGCCCCGGCCAAACTGCAACAAAAATAGCTGGGCGCTGTGCCAGGCGCTTGTAGTCTCAGCTACTCAGGAGGCTGAGGCGAGAGAATTGCCTAAGCCGAGGAGCTGGAGGTTGCTGTGAGCTGTGATGCCACAGTACTCTACCGAGGGGGACAAAATGAGACTCTGTTTCAAAAAAAAAAAAGACTCACCTATTAAAATTGTATCCATCTAGCTACCTTTCTACAGAATTGTAAGACCTGGATTACCACATGCATACATGCCTTCAGCAGCATAGTCACCATTTCTTGAGTTGTGGGAGTCACATCATGAGCAGACAACTTGCAGAATGGGTGAAAATATTCACAAATGAAAGCAACCAGGTGGGCGTGGTGGCTCATGCCTGTAATCCTAACACACTGGGAGGCAGAGGCAGGAGAATTGCTTGAACCCAAGAGTTTGAGGTCCCTGTGAACTAGGTTGAGGCAATGGCACTCTAGCCTGGGCAATAGAGTGAGACTATTTTTCTTTTTTTTTTTTTTT